GGCAGCAGACTGCCACTGCTGCAGCCTTACAGCACACAGAATCCTCCCTCCCAACTGCCAAACTGCTGCTCTCTCAGCGATATGGAACTCTGCACTTCAGTTTCTTTATACAGATTTAACACTTCCTAACATATTCGAGAACCTTTACCCAGACTTTGCCCAGACTAGCTGGTCCACTCAGGAGCTATTTCTTAATGCAGAATTAGTGTTCACATGGATCATCAGAGTGCTTACGTGAAAACAGATTATACCCAGAGACGGAGCATTATTTGGATTCCTTAACATCAAGTATATAAGGAGCCTTATTTCCTGCACTACGAAAGCAAATGCACTCTTTCTTTTTACCACCTTTTTCTTTCAAAAGTTCACTGCGTTCTGTAGTAAACTGCCACAGAAAGTCAAGAGTACAAGCTCTCACATCCTGTACTTTGTGGGTACTTGCTTTGAAATTTATGACTCGTGCTCCACAAATTCAAGGTCCCATTTTTACGAGACTCAGAAATGTCCTGAAAACTGTTACCTTAATTCTGCAAACTGCTCAGAAGTAACAGTCCTGTCACAAACTACTCCCATTCCTCTGGAAGAGGCATTAGCTACAAAACCTAAAGGTCAAACATGTTTGAAATTTTAACGGTCCTACTCACAACAGTCACATAAGCTTTCAGCTAAAGCAGTTACTGAGTTACCTCCTGCATTTCTAGGACTGTCCCCTAATCTGAGCTATATGACCCAGTCATGCCATCCATGCTGAAAAAACCCTTGGTTTTCTTGTATTAATGGCAAAGCATCTCAAGGATTGCTACTCAATCTAAAATCAACAACACATAACAATCACTTTAATAGCATAAAAGTGCCTTTAAAACTCATCATCTTAGTTCAATCCTGCTGCAAAGTGCAGCGACAGCATCACACCTGAACGGCCACAGCTCAGAGCACAGAGGATGTTTAACTGTGACACCAGGACATACTATGCAGACCCAGGCCGAGCACAGAGGGCACACGCACAGTCCTAGGGGGTCATGCCACCACCGTGGCAGGAAATCTGTGTTGTGCCACACCTGTGAGCGGTTTCTGCAGTCATTCCCAGCAAACAGCAGATCCTCTTGACTCCTGCTGTCAGAATGAAGCAGTGCACTATGAACTGCCTCAAATCCCCCACCCCGCCCCGAGTCAGTTAGGGCAGATTTTGTTAAGAGCAGAAGCCAGGCGGGTAGGGCAGCACCACAAACTCTCCCTGAACACAGCTCCACAGAAAGGTGTTTGGGCTCCAAAAAAAGGCTGCAGGTGCATTAGTGGATTGAGCTGAAAACAAGCTAGAAGTGTCACTTTACATGTCTTCAACTGAGAAGGCAAATAAAAAGAAAATGAAGACAGTGCTGCAAACGAGTTCTCCTGCCAGAGCTGTAACAGCTGAGCTTCTACTGTCAAGGGAAAGGCTACACGAGAGAAGAAAGGAGAGGAAAGCAACAAGGTGGCATGAAGCAGGAA